GCAAGCAATGCACAGTGACAAACAACAGCGACCTCTAGTGTTACATTTGCAGATTGCAGCCGGGCCAATCTTCTCAGAAGACTGCGGCCATGTCTGCACCGGCTTCAAGACCGAGCCCACCTGACCGCCGGCTACAATGCTGCGCTGCTTCCCCCTCCGAAGGGCTAAAATAACAGAGACCCCCACCCAAACCTCCGTCCCGCCTGGCTGCTAGCAATTTCCTCTCACTTCCTGTCCTGGCTGATATAGGAAGCAGTGGCCTCTCTGCGGGGGTCTGACGAGACCCCCTTCTACAACAGCAGAGCCCTTTGATGATTGGCGAGGAACACCCCTTTCAAAAAATCTAGAAGTGTAGCAAAGCCTGCGTGCTGCTGCAGAGAGGGACCCCGGCTCTGGGTGCGTGGAAGCAGTGGTCTCCCTGCAGAGATCTGACACGCCCCCCTTCCCCCGCTGATCCAGAGCTCTCCAATCATCAAAGGGCATGAGCTCTGCTGTTGCAGAAGGGGGTCGCGTCAGACCCCCGCAGAGAGGCCACTGCTTCCTATATCAGCCAGGACAGGAAGTGAGAGGAAATTGCTTCATGGGGACACCATCAGCAATGAGCTGCATCGAATTCTCTTGCAGTGTAAAATGTAAAGGGTCCTCAGCCGCCATTATCCATGTCTTCTTATCAGTATAGTGCCTGGCATGTTCTCTGTGTCACACAACATGGAGAGGGAAGCAGTTGGATCGTCTGTCAGGATATGGCACAGTGTACAGGATGTGACCTTCCTCCACCCTCTCCTGTATATACAGCAGCAGTAGCAGCAGCAGCAGCAGCAGCAGCAGCAGCAGCAGCAGCAGCAGCAGCAGCAGCAGCAGCAGCAGCAGCAGCAGCAGCAGCAGCAGCAGCAGCAGCCCGAGTCCTCCGCTATCCCACCATGCAGCGCGCTCCCTCACCCGCTCCTCCTCTCCTCTCTATGATGCGGGCAGGGTGTAGTGGGCGGGGCCGCGCAAGCGCAGGGACTGAGGGAGAAGTTCCCAGAGGAGATACACTGCATTAGCAAGATGAGGGACCGCTCCAAGGAGCTGGACTGTGTGAGTGACGTCACCGGGGGGGAACTACAGGGCCCAGCAAGGACTGGGCGAGTTACGCTGTCCCTCCGAGCATCGACACATGTATTTATCTATATTCTGGGGATCTTCCATTGCAGACATTGGGCTCCAGTCATGTAGTGACATTACCGGGGGGGGGGACTACAGGGCCCAGCATGAACTGGACGGCACACCAGGGGTCCCGCACCATCTCTGTCCACTGGGGACTACAGGTCCCAGCATGAACTGGACGGCACACCAGGGGTCCCGCACCATCTCTGTCCACTGGGGACTACAGGTCCCAGCATGAACTGGACGGCACACCAGGGGTCCCGCACCATCTCTGTCCACTGGGGACTACAGGTCCCAGCATGAACTGGGCTCCACACCAAGGACTCAACAGCATCTTTCTTTGCTGGGGGGGACTACAGGGCCCAGCACAGCATGAACTGGGCTCTTCACCGGGGGGGCCCTACACCATCTCATTTCACTAGGGACTACAGGGCCCAGCATGGCCTGGGCTCCACACCCATCCCCCCCCCCAAGTAGGCACATATGTATGGTTTGTTTATGGGTGGTGGGGGCCATATTGCAATGCACCTTAATGAGCATGTTATCAATGCGCTGCAGCGGCCCGGTGGATGTGATTGGGCCCTAAATAAGGCCTGTAAAGTGGATCTCCACCCAAAACATTCTTGCACAGAAGGGGTAAGGCATAGGACCTCTGTCGGGCGTTTATCCCTCTGTGGCCAGCAGGCGTCAGGGCGAGCCCTCTGTGGCCAGCGGCGTCAGGGCGAGCCCTCTGTGGCCAGCGGCGTCAGGGCGAGCCCTCTGTGGCCAGCGGCGTCAGGGCGAGCCCTCTGTGGCCAGCGGCGTCAGGGCGAGCCCTCTGTGGCCAGCGGCGTCAGGGCGAGCCCTCTGTGGCCAGCGGCGTCAGGGCGACCTGTGTTGTTGTATCAGTAGCCAATTTTTTTGTTTTCCTCCCGCAGATGGACATCGATTCGGAGCCGTATGAGTGCAAGGTGTTTCTGAAAGGCCCCTATAGCGATGACGAGCTCGACCAGCGTTTCTTCGACATGGTACTACTAGTAGGCGCTGTGTAGTGGGGGGAGGAGGAGGGATGGGGCAGATGTGTTTTAGGTCCTGTCCTTGTGACAGCTGTGGCTACCTCCATAGATGCAGCGAAGGACTGAACGTAGACACCGAAGGACAGGAAGCGTGTTGCTGGCCGGATCACCAGACATGGGTGGAGCATGGTCATAAGGGGGCGGGGGGAATAACGTTGAGTGACAGAAGTCTGTAGTGGGAAGCATTCAGTCTCGGGGTTGATGATTGACTGATGGTATTCCTCAGGTGCAGCAGATTCGGGAGTCGCTAGAACTTCTCAGGAGTAAAGTGAAAGCGTTGGAGTCCAGTCAGATGAAGGTCCTCTGCCAGCCGTTCCCTGGGGACAGTAAGTGATTGCTCCGCCCACCCTCCTCATTGATGCTCATTATTAGTTACTGCTCTGCTTACCCAAATGCCGATGGATCGCCGATCCGGTGACTGCAGCACCCAAACAATGACTATCCTGACTATTCTACCTTTCTAATGACTGTCCCATCCTCCCAGTGACTGCAGCACCCTTCCACTGACTGTCCCATCCTCCCAGTGACTGCAGCACCCTTCCACTGACTGTCCCATCATCCCAGTGACTGCAGCACCCTTCCACTGACTGTCCCATCCTCCCAGTGACTGCAGCACCCTT